TTCAACACTTTCTTTTCCACCCAGAGGCGGCAGTGGGTAACGGGGCGCGGCACAAACAGTGGCAACAACAGACAGTTCAAACTCTCGTTTTGGGTAGGTGTCCAGCAATTATCGGTAGGCCAGGCCAGGCCCAGAAAGCAAAGACAAATCAGAAAACTATAACACAAGAAAATCATTGAATTTAGCTATACCCTATGTGGGGTATATTCCAAGTAACCGAATCACAAACTGCACAAAGGAAGAGCATAAAGAACGTCGAAAGACGACTCTTTGATTAGATCAAATTGTAGTCTGTAGAGGAGACAATAGAAGCAGATTAGATTCGGCTTTGTGTGAAGGGTATCGCGAAAGAAAGAGACATTCAAATGGCAATCCCCCGAAAAGAAAGTGAAAAATGTTGCAACAACGGCAACAGCTCTACCGATCACGGGGAGAAGAGATCGGCAGAGTGGCCAAGAGATTGGTAGATAGATATATAGAAACATAAAAGAAAGTGAGGTTGAATGCAGATCAAATCGTATTGAGGGGTGCCCTCTGTCCGTAGCGGCCATCGAGTGTCATTGCTCCGGATCCGTAGAGTTCACCAAAGGTTTGTTGAACCTTTGGCTGTGTGGCTCCTCCATCCCACCATCCCCTACTCCCACTTCCGTGACTCTCAGACCGAATTTGAATGATTTTCACCGGCAGCCGAGGCCGAAGTCGCAGTCGCAGCAGAAGCACTCCAGCGATCGGGTGCAAAAAAAAGTGAGAGTTTTGGGTGGCTACAGCCAAAGAGATTTGAATGCCGGGGCTCTGGTGGCTCCCGCCTATTGGGGTCACCTCTCCGCTCCGTCGTCGCTCTCCGAAGATCTCTATCAAGAGTAGATCCATGATGTATGAATAATTTTCTATGAAATACTTTTCACAGTTTGTTACTTTTGTCGGCCGCATGACGCATATGCAGCCGAAAACTTTCATTCGTTTGGCTCGCTCGAAGGAGGTCAGTGAACGGAAAGCAGAGACCCCCAGAGAGGCACCGAGAGAGACACCCAGAGAGAGACAGCAGGGCAGCGATATCGAATGACCAGCCAGGGACAGGCAGCAGATGCTTGAAAAGTGCACAAGACATGTCCCTGAAGCAGAACGAGAGACAAGAGGGACTCCTGCGAGACAGGATCGTGTTACACACACACAGACACAGCAAATACCGTTAACACGGACATCGGTCCTAAGGGTTGAGGATCGGATCGGATCTGTTCGTTGCTGCCCAAAGTTGATTGGCCTTTAAATTGTTCATTTAAAACTTGTAAAAAAAAAAATTTAACTTGTAAATACATCTGTGTGTATGTGCAACCACCAGAGAATTAATTTCTATGCTTGCATACATTTATTTATTCGTTTCACCTTTCTCCTATGCCCATTTATCTGTTCAGCAACTCCTCCATTCATCTCTCATTTATATGTTAACAACGAATCTACGCGTTGCCGAAGCTTCTCCCCATTGAAGCTGATGCTTAGCCAACAGCTTGCATCTACACAAGTCCCAGCTGCACACCTTTCTCTTCCAAGGGGAACAGATGTACCAGGGAGTTAGCTCCCAACCCAACTATGTATTTTTATCTTGCTACAGATCACACTCAGTTCTAATGAAACTGAAATCCCAACGGATTAACCGCCCTGCCACATTTCTCACGCTTCGTCGCAAAAACGGACTCTGTCCAGAAGCGTCGTTCAACTCGTAATATTACCGGGAAATGGCGGCGACACACAGCGAGCGCATGGGACAAGACTCCAAGCAAAAGTGTTTGCTGCTCTCTTTTTTTTGTTTGTATTCCGCTTTAATTTAATTGTTGTTGTCTTTTCTGTCATACGAGGCAAAGTACGGTTTATTTGTCCACAATACTCATAGTCGTATATCGTATATTTATGTAATTTGGTGTCGAGTTGCCCAGTGCCCAGTGTCTGTTGATTTCAAGGTTTCAGCAATTATCCAAAGCAAAGTTCGGCATGGAAATGATTTCCTAGAATCCAAAAACCATAAGGGCTTACGAAGCTAGTGGGGGGTAGTGGGGTGGTGGGGAGTGTGGGGAGTGTGGGGGGAAGTGTAGCTATAATATAAATAAACTTCAGATTCAAAGAGAACAGCAAAAAAAAAATATAATATACTGTATATCGAACACATTTTCACGCCTTCGATGCATGGCATTGGGGACGGTTTCAAGTTCAGTGGAAAATAAAATAGCTAAACAGACAGAATAATCGTACTGTGTGTGTGGTGGTAAGAGGGGTCAATAGGGGCAGGGCGGAGGCGGAGGCGGGGTGCCTAGAATAGGGGTGTAGAGTTAAAAGACCAAAGACCAATGTCCGCCGCTTTGCCACTGCGAAATCAGACAATTGCTACGCTGATGGCACCCACACACACACCCACACACACACCCACACACACACACACCACTGCATTTCCATCGTTAATGATGACGCATTCAAAGAAACGCTGACACGCCGATGCTGGTGGTGGTGGTGTCCACGGGTCAAGCAAATGACCCAAAACTGTTCCGAATTGAGTCACAATTAGTCGTAGTAGTCAGCAGAGGCAGAGCAGCAGCAGCTGCGGTGTGGTGTGTGATGGGTGCGGTTCTGAATAGTTTTCTGTAAATATTTAGTAAAAGTTTCTTTCTATCTATCCATTTTCTGTTTCTATTTCCATTTCCATTTGCTTACCCTGACCTTTGTCGGGGGTAGGGTAGGGTAAAGGCGGCTCTCTATAGTTCTGACATTGAAATTTCACTGCCACTGCCATATTGTATATTGTTCTATTCTTGCTCTTCCAGCCACTTTACGAGCATTGTTCTTGTCTTATTCTTTATTCTTTTAGTTTTGCCAATCGCTCGACTGGAAATCATTATTTCTGTTGTGGTCAAAGCGGTTTTGTTGTAGCCTGGCATTTTGTGGGCTTTAATTTGATTTTATAGGATATATACATACATATGTATGTACATATATGTATGGAATGTACAGGTAGAAACAAATTGAACAAAGAACAAAACCTATACGAAAATAATGTTTATAATTGCTCCCAAATGTATTTCCATTTCGACTATTTGCGGTTACATTATCGAATATTTTGTGTGGGAATTCGTTTGGATTTTTACACACTATGAATCATTGCTTTGCTGCCTGTTTTTATTCCTGGGAAATACATTAAAAACAAAAATAATAATAATAAAATATTTTTAAAACAAATCAAAATAATAAGGAATATAATAATAGCTAAATATTCTTGAGTTTCATAAGTAGAACGAATATATGTGTCTATTTCAGGCACTTTATTCTGGGAAAAAATTTTAAAATGATATATATGTATGTATATCCATTAAATTAACACTCTATGTCCGATACAAGTCAAAGGTCATGACCTTACCACATGATACCACACCCCGTGCTAATTCCAGGAACCCTAAAGGAAGCTACAGTTGAACAATTTGAACATAGATATACACCTACCGTACATACATATTTTTAATGGAAATTCGGTTTGTGGGAGCATGTGCGGACTCCCAAGGGCTAATACCATCGAAAGCTTCGGCCAATATGTAAACGTTAATTCATCAATTTAATGGCAGTGGCAGGGAAAGGAAAGGGACGTCCAGGCACGCCAGAAAGTAATCATCAGCGGAAAAAATATTAAATAGGAGTGGGTGGGGGGAGGGGTGCAGAGTGTCGAAATCAGTAGGATGTGTGCGGTTTGCAGGCATTGACCTCACAGTCAACGAACCAGCACGATGTCCTGGCCATAGGCCTGGTTCCGTCCAGGCTCTGTCCTGGCCATAGGCCGGGTTCCGTCGAGGCTCTGTCCTGGTGGGAGATTTATGGCCGCAGAGCAAACGCGAGTTGAACGAACCCACAAAACGAACAGGAAGTGGGTCGGTGCCTGTCCATTCTGAATCGCAATTTGTTTTCTGTTTCTGCTGGGAGTAGATTACATAATACTTCCTGCCCGTCCGTCCGGTCGCCCGCCCGCACAAGCAGCGACAAGTTGGGCAAGGAATAGGCCTAGTGGGGAGCGGGCATTAAGGGAGGAGAATGAGGACCGGAAGTTAACCTTGAAGTTGAGCAAACCAGAGCGAGGGAGCAGGGTGGGGGGGAGCAACAACAAACTGCGCAGCATCCGAAAAATCCAAAGTCTCAGTCGCAACATCCCATTCCCAGGTTCCAGCTGCCAGCTCCCAGCTCCCAGTCGAAGCTATTCCATGCCCCACCCCTCAACCAACCGGGACACGTGTTGGAAGTGGGGTGAGCGTCGAAACGAATGGAAGCTGGAAACGGAAAGTAGCATGCCGCCCCCCGCACCCATATTCTGGTTTTTTGGGGGTGACTTTCGGAGGCTGTAGATTTAAAAGGGGGGAGGGATAAAGGAAACCCACTCTAAAATGCAAATGCAAAATAAGTTCACGGCAAACACTTGACTTTGGAATCGATAATAAGTTCACAAATTTCCCAAAAAATAATACTCGACCCCGCGGGGATGGTCGAACTTTGCCTCAGAGAAACGAACCACCAATGAGAGGGCGGGAGGGGATGGCAGGCTAATGCCACATCGCATTGCCTTATGTAAATGTTTGTCTTGGTCCTTTGTAAACGATAACCGATAACGATGCCCGCCTGGGCCACAGAGAGATGTAAGATGGCAGATTTACGGCTAAGCATCCGTCATACTATGCTTTAGATATATGTATAATCAGCATAAATATTTGTAGTACCTGCTGCTTGTGTAAACCTCAACGTAAATGAGCCAAAGCAAGCGGCATTCAAAGAGTCCGTTGGCATCGTTACAGGGGGAGCTGTGTGCCAGCACCTCGGAGGCTCATAGTTTCTGCAGCAATGTGGCATAATAATAACCAAAACGCCTTGGCATTTTTATGTCAAACTAAAATCTAATAAAATCCAGGGAGCCCTTCAATTCATTGAAGTTCCTGCCGTTCCGCTACAGCGATCCCAGCAGTTTGTGAACTAGGAAAATCAGTTCAAATCGTAACTACGGACAGACAGCTTCTGTTCAAAAACGAGAAACGAAATAAAATTACTAAATAGACAAAATTTCGAATACGAACGCAATGGCACGCGGTCATCAGAAGATCCAGTCGCAGGCAAAGTCCGCGGAGAAGCAGGCAAAAATGAAGAAGCAACAGGGCCACAGTGGCCAGGACCAAAAGAAGTCCGCCCTGAAGGCTCTGGTGCATGTGTGTGCCATCTGCAAGTCCCAGATGCCGGATCCCAAGACCTACAAGCAGCATTTCGAGAATAAGCATCCCAAGAGTGCGCTGCCCGAGGAGCTAAAGACTATCTAAGAGGATAAACAATCAACCATTCCATAGACACACAAATGCAAACTGTTTTGATTTTTATTTCGATTTTATTTTGAATTGTAATTGGCATAGATACGATACAACGAAGACCTTTCTAGGCGTTTTTATAGCACCAAAGACACTCGAGATGAGCATTTTCCACCGCTCTCCACTCTTGGCTACCCGGCCACCCATAACAAAAAGTTAGTAACCAACTCTTGAACTGGTTCGAGGCGGTGTTCCCTGCCAAGGTTATGCGTGGTCAAGGTTGAGCACTCCCCGAAGAATGGCATGTCATGGAATGGCTTCTCCTGCTTTTGCGTGACGTGGAAAACTTCCATGAAAAGGCAGTAAACAAGTTGACAGCCCACGTTGCCCACGAATGGAAAGTACCCAAGTAAATGGTCAGAGAATGTTAAAGGAGATGGAGGAGTAGGAGGGATGATGGGCGCTATTAATAGCCAGGCAACTTTTGCTTCGACCCAGGAAGTCAGTTCTTGTGCCTTCTTCTCCTTCCAGGCTCAAACTTTCTTCAAGTTCATTCACAAAAGCAGCGCCCACAGCACAGCGCAGAGCCACCCAAAGAATGACTGGCCATGCGAAACGGTTAACAAATTGCCACACAGCAGGCGGGGGGTGGGTGTCGTTTTGGTGGGTTGGAGTTGCCACACGTGGCAAACGGATGATGCTGGAAATCGATCGCCCTGGCAGATAAGTATGCTATAGTTTTCATTTTGCGGTTGCTGAGGTTTCCCATTTCCATGAAAATGATTTCGAAAATGCAAATTGAATTTGCGTGTGGCACCACCGAGTGGTGGTAGGAGGTAGTTGGTAGGTGGGGAGGATGACGTACCTCTGAAATGCGCAACAGCGGGACGAGAGCTTTGCCCACCCCAACCACCCTACCCCCTACACAAATGGCAACAAACTTGCGGTCTGGCCTTCGACGAGAGAGAGAGAGAGAGAGAGAGAGAGAGAGAGAGAGAGAGCGAGAGCGAGTGGAAAGTTCAAAAGCGTGCAATGCCAAGGAGAAAGTTCTGGCAATGTCACCCGAAGTACAGTCAACCCCAGCGAAGCTTTTTTCCGCACATGCCACTCCCACTCTGGCAACGGCAGCGAGCTTTTCCAGAGAGAGAGAGAGAGAGAGAGCTTATCCGTCCTGCCTGAAATGCCACCCAAGGCCGTAGGTAGAATAAAAACAAGAAAATTTCCACTCCGCACATTCAAGGACTCATCGGGCAGCATTTGCGTAAAAGCTCTGTGCGACAGAGAAAACTCCCGCCACCCCCCTACTGCCACCCATTCCCGCTGTTCTGTTCTGCCTTGGCAACGGTGAAGTTCAAGGTTAAAGCTGAGCGAGGGATTCTTGCTTGCTCGCTGTGGCTGTGGCTGTTGCTGCCACCCACACTTACTTACACACACACACAAACACAAACACACACACAGAGGACAAGGTGGCACACACGTGGCCCCAACTGTGGTGTGGGTATTTGGGTCCTTCTCCTCCTTGGCTTTGCATACTTTGCGGCGCGTGGAGCTGCTTATTGTTCAACGACTGACGGCTGATGGACCTTTCTTACGCACCTGCTGCCCCGCCACCACCTGCCCTGCCCTGCCCTTCCTTGTTCTGCCTGCCTGCCTATCCAACTTTTGACCTTGGGCTGCACTACGTTCGAGCATTCGCCCTCCCACCTACCACCACCCCCTTCCATGCGTTGTTGGGCCCGGGCCTCGTCTGTTGATTACATTGCGGCGCGTGACTTTGATTTGATTTTTAAATGATTCTTTTAGCAGCTTGTCTCTCCATCTATCTCTCTCTCTCTCTCTCTCTCTCTCTCTCCAACTGAGCTGCTGTCTCTGTCTCTGCCATCGTTAAAGGTCAACAAAAGGACGATGCTTTGAGGCTGCTGCTGCTGCTGCTGCTGGTACTTTTTATCACCGGAGAGGAGCGGAGCCAAGTGGCGGAGAGGGATGCCAACAAGCAAAGTTATATATTCCTTTAATGCAATTAAGCCACGTGTCCGTGTCGTGCCGTCAAAGTTTGTTTTATTCACTCTTGTCCCGCGTTTCCTTCTCCTTTCTCTCTTCTGTTTTGCACAGAGAGAGAGAGAGACAGCGAGAGGGCGGTGGATTGCGGAAGGAGGAGAGTGGCAAACGTCCAGGAGTGGGGGCAGAGTCCCTGAAATGATTGGCTTTCAGAGTGACGAAACATTTATAAAGATTAAACTAGAGTGATGATGTGAAGCTCGGGGATCATCCAAAACCCAAACTAAAAATGGGGCAAGGTGTCCGTCGTTTCCACCGCGTAAGCCTCCGCCTTTGCCTTCATCCCACACACACACACAGGAGAGCAAAGGAAACAGAAAGCCAGGAGTAAAATTTCAATTAAAATCAAATAAAGCGCCCACGTTTCATCGAGTGACGTTGATTGGGCGGAGGAGCTGTGTTACGACATCTCCAGGCTGTCCGCTAAGTGGGGCAGGATGCTAAACATAGTTTTCCCCAACGTCTAACAACGGTGGACAGCGGCAACCAAGCAACCACTGAGCCGAGCTGAACCGGCCGACCGGTAGCAACCCCTTGAGCCCCACACCGAATTCCATTCCATTAAGCAGCAAGAGAGGGAAGGGGCGAGTGGCTCTTGGTGAGCCACCGACACCCACACGGTGTGGCCATGACCGTGGCCGGTACGTCAATGCAGCAAGGTCATACGTAATAGAGAGGAACGGCAGGAGGAGCAGCAGGAGGTGAATGGGGTGCAATGGAATGCCCGAACACACACACACACAGTCCATGCCGTTGCCTCGCTTTGCCTTGCACTTGAACTTGCGCACGCGGCAGCTGCATGTGCCTCCCCTCCCCACTCGAGCTGCGGTGCAGAGGGAGGAAAGGTTGGCTGGAGGGGCTGCTATCTACAGTTGGGTGGGTTTTTTGACCTTCAGCCGTGAGCTTTCCAACGAAGCTTATTTTTAGTCCCAAGTCGACGGAGATGCAGCAGGCGGCAGTACGAGAGGGAGAGACAGAGAGAGAGAGAGAGAGAGAGCGATGCATTGAAAGGTCATTCGTTTGACCGAACCACTGAAGTCCATGCACTGGATGAGCGTTCAAGGTCAAATCGCTGCAGCTGCAGCTGCCCTCCCTCCGCACAACGATAATTGCCACCAGCGCAACACCCCTATGGGGCATGGCGTTGGGGTCAGGGGGTTGACATTGACATTGACGCAAATTGCCGAGGGTCAAGCGCACACGACGGCTGTAGTGGCAGTGGCAGTGCCAGCAATCGCGCCATGACTGCGTAATAAGAATGAATCAAATTAGTTAAGCGCCACTTCTGGGGAAAGCTGGGGGCTACCAAGCTGGCCGGGGCGGGGACGGGGGCATGTTTCTGTGTTGGCTGTTAGTGCTGTCCATTGGATTCCATTTTCCGAGTGGGCGGCATAATGCAAGTGAAAGAGTGAATAGGGCAGTGCTCAGAATTGAACTAGAGGTGGCTTTGAAATATAAATAAATAAAAAATAAATATAAAGAAATATAAAGAAATATAAATAAATATAAAATTTAAAATATAAATATTTATTTTCTCTTTTACAATCCAATCTACCGATGCTACGAACGGCTGCTACGAGTACTCTATTATTTAGACAGTCGTCTGAAAATATTCTTTAGGATCTGCATCCCTTGCCAGTGATAATCCTCATTGGTATTCCGCCTTTCTCTCCTATAGCCCAGAACGTTCTTCTTAATTTCATTTCGTTTTTACTTTCTTATGGGAAAGTCTTAAAATTTCCATTCATTTTCTATGCATGAGTACAATGTGCACGCGTCCTGTCTTGTTGTTTGTTATGTTACAGTAATTGGTTTAGTTTTTATATGGAAAAACATGGCATTTATTTAATTGGTATGTCTGCCTTTTCATGTACAAAAGATTGCAAGAGATTGACGCACAGAAGGTCAACCCCATCTGTAGCTGGAAAGTCGTGCCCCAGCTGGTTGCCATAGACACAGCGAAAGCCTCTTAAGGGCCGCCACCCCACTACTCCTGCTCCACCACTGCGAGAGGAAAGGAAAGCTTGCGCATTCGCTGAGGTTGCTGAGGTTTAATCATCGCAAATGAAATTAATCAGAGCCCACAACAAAAGCAACAACAAAGAGTCCACAAGGAATCGCCATGAAGCGCCCATTGTTCTTTGTGTCTTCCATACAATCCATACAAAATATATATATATATAAATATATGTATGTATACTCATGCGAGTGTACATATTTAATATCAAATGATATGCAGAGCACAATTAAAAAACGTTGACGCTCGTGGCATGCAGGTCATAGACCGACCAACGGACGACGGATCCAGCCGCGATCGCGGTGCATTGTACTCCGCAGTGGCTAGGGGCGGTCGGAAAGGGAGTTTCGCGATATTCGCTTGGACAAAGACGAGCAGGAGGAGGGGAAGGGGAAGGCCGACAATCTCGAACATGACGGAAAGAAGTACTTACACGGCCCTAATTAAGCGGTCAATGAGCGGTTCCAGCGGTTCAAGCGGTTCAAGGGTGCAGCAGCGGCCAGTGGTCGTCCCCAGAGAGAGTGAGAGAGAAATCTCCGAGGGTTACCCTTGTTGTGCGGTTAATGCACATTTGCGATGAGTTAGTGACTCACGATCCCACTACTAAACCAGGTTTAAGATCCATCGGGTTAAAGAATAGGATACAGCTGCTATGCCTTGAGAGTATCATTAGTTCGAATTCGTTTCTCTAAAATGTTTGAGTTCTAATAAATAAATAAATAACTTTCATAAATAAAAAAAGCTCCTGCCCTGCAATATTCTCTCTTGGCAAATAATTCCTTAAGAATAAGTATATTTACTTCCCATCTGTAGTAAACACCGACACTCACTAACATCTCTCTCTCTCTCTCTGTCTTGGCAGCGCACAGAACTGCACTGCAAGCAGTGCATTTAATCATCGGTTCACTCACTCAATTCAAGGCGCGGCACAATAATATGCATAGATCCCAGGCCCCAGCAGATCACCAAACTGCAGCAGGGGGAAAACTGGAAAGGGAAGGCAAGGCAAGGCAAGGCAAGAAATTGCAGTAGGGCGACAAAGTTCAG